TTTTTTTTTTTTTGTAATTATTCGCTAGTTCAAAGTCTTGACCTTAGAGATAAGCAAGCAAAGGACTAAAGATGGTTTTTGTGAGACTTGTGGTGCATGTGTTTTTATAGTTTAAAGTGTGAGGAGATCGAACTGCTGACTCGAACGATTAAGAGGCTCGGTTTTGCTTGGCATTGAAAAACGAGCGTTGTTTTACGGTTGAAAAATAGTCCAAGGGAGAGTGAAGAAATGTGTTGTACAGTAAATCTTGTTGAAGCTCAGTTTTATCACCATTCTCTAGTCTTTCAGTTTTATGTTATGATCTACTGTTTTTACAATTTGGGTAATGTTTGCAGTAATATAATTATTATTATGTGCTTGGCCTTGAGATAGAATTTGAGGTATATCATATTATTATTATTATTATTATTATTATTATTATTATTATTATTATTATTATTATTATTATTATTATTATTATTATTTATTACTATTATTATTTGATTAGTGCTTAAATTTTGCATAATATTCAACTAACTAACCCCATGTCTCACTTTAGGTTAATTTGTTTGGTTGGATTTTTGTGTTACTCGATAGTTATTATCAAGGAAATAAATAGCTCGCTAAAGTTGCCGCTATTTGAGAAATAGCTTTTTTTGGCAGTGTGCTGCTATTTGTATTCATGTGCAATTTAGCCGCTGAATTTCGTTAAATCTCCGCTATAGCTACAGTGCCATAAACGTTTTAGCCCGCTATTTAAAACTTTGGTTATTATTACAATTTAAGAAAAAAACGTGGTTGTAGTTGTTAAACGAAACAAATTGTACTTGTGAGTTCGATCTGACTCGACTGGTTTGATAAAAAATTAAAATGTTGAGTTCAAACTCATTTAGTTAAGAGAGCTATATATGCTCGTTAAGCATAATTTGATTCGAACAATATGAACTTTTACACGATTCTATGAACTTTTAACTTGGCGCGACTCGTTAAGGTTCGAATTCAGCTCTCTAATATTGATAAACGAGCTGAATTCTAACTCACTTAGCTACTCGAAAGCTCGATAAAGGTACGTACAACCGAGCATTCGAAACTCTAGCTTGGCTCGACTGGTTTAATATGTGCAACTTGTGGTAAGTTTTTGGACATTATTACAACCACCTTATTCTTCACATTCAATGTTTCAATATGCCGATGAAACATCAAATTCAGTGCTTAATCAATAGATCCAACACAAACATAAATGACATGGGCGGTTCTACGAAAACTAAAAATAGTATTAGTACTTATTTAATAAATTTTGCTTTCTTTGTTTCTTTCTTGTTTATTAATTAATTAATAATTGTTCAACTTAAGGACAAAAAAATAAAAATAAATAATATTTCTGCAAATACATGAGTAGGGAAATGCTGATGTTTCCTTGAGGAACTATTTCGCCGGGTGTGTAACCGTTAGATCAATTATCTTCGACTTACATTATGATTTAACGATTACAATTCCCGATCGAATGGTTCCGTAATCGGACTGTAGCATCTCTATTATAGTATTTTCTTCTATATTCTTGTATACGTAAATAAATATAATTTATTTCTGTAAAATTAATATTTAACAAATATAAATAAATAAATAAAAAGAAGGATCCATTCCACTGACACGAGCACACCAGATAAACATCGGGTAAATTGCGCCAAACCCCCCTGTATTATACGAAATCTGCGCGTTATCCCCCTGTATTTTAAAAATTGCGCCATACCCCCTTGTATTATACTTTTGATTGCGCGTTA